CCACATTCTTATCTAATTAAATGCACGAGGAAGTGTGCTACGTACAAGAGCGGCAAAAAAAATAAAAAAATAAAAAAAATAAAAAAAAATATATATATATATATATATATATATATATATCATTTTTCACTTTGTATGAGTAAAAATAGATGAATTATTACAATTAATTTGAAAGTAAATATACATATAAGCAATAATTCATGTCCTCTCGCATGTAATTCATTTAAAATAATATTAACTTTTACTTCATATGATGAAATTAAACCGATATATGATTATGTGTGTAAACATAGTCATAAAAAAATTTGTTTTCACAAGAATAAATTAATTTAGTTTAACTACTTAATCACGTGGAAATAGTTTAAATACTTATTTATGATTAAGTGATCATGAATAATTAACTTTTATAAATATTTATCTTGATATATATTACACTCCATACATTATTGAAGGATTGTATGGAAGATAAACTTTTCAAATCTACATATTTGGCCTTGTACCATAGAACTGAAGCAAGAAAAACATATCCTAGACCCTAAAATAATAGCATTGAATAAATTTTAAACAATGTTAAAAAGTTTAAGACATGTTTGTACATTTTAACACTTTTTGTTTAAAATCACACATTGTGTGTGTGTGTAATAACACATTACCGTGATAATTTTACTCCAAAGGTAAGAAGATGTTATTATTCTTACTAGGATGCTGATTCCGAAAGCCATTTCGAAAATGGAAACACAAGGCTAAAATGCCTACCAAATAGTAGTTAAGACTTAAGAGTAACAAAGAACAATACAAGAATGTGTAACCAATTATGTTGAGATGTTGCATTTGAAAAACATACCCTTTTTTTGACCCAAATACATTGAAAGAGTATTGACACCATATGCTTTATCCCTTTCAACATCACGTATATTCTATATAAATAGAATGCTTTACAATAGTAATACATATCGAACAAAAAACTTGATGTTAAAAAGAAACATGTTTTAAAAAGTCTTTACCTTGGACACCATTATACCCACAGAGTATAAACTTATAAAAAAAACAACAAAAATGAGTGATTTTGGAAAGATAGTTGGCCTCTTCAACACAAAAGTCTAGACATTGTTACATGGGTTAGTAATAAAAAAAAATTGACCATTTCATCTTTTCCACTTTAATTAATAGCATGTTGAAGGTTATAAGAAAATATAAAACTCTTAGGAATATATAACAAAAATATATTAATAATACTAAAGATGATCTTATGTGATAGTTTGTGACTTGTGTGTAAAACGTTTGTAACTTATTCATAATTAGTTAGTTATAAGTTCTCTATTATTCGAATGAAATAGCCATAGTTGGTGTAGCAACTTTCAATGTAAATGAAGCTCATTGTTCTCTATAAAAAAAAATGAAGCTCATTTTTCTTTATAAATATTTAAATGCATATAAGTTAAAAATTTAATGATTATGCACTAATAGTATAAAGTACTTTACACTATCAATCAATTATAATTCATTTTTTGTATGAATTTTTATTTATTTATTATAAAAGTTAACAAACTCACCATACATGATTTTATTGAATGAAAACGTAAGACCATTTTACATTATCATTGCATAGTTTATTTTCTCATAAGTTAATCCATGATTGTCCAAAACTAAAGGCCTATAAAAATCACAATTAGTTATAAAACAAACCTGCATGTGAAGGAAACATGCAATTGGCGATATAAATCCTAAAATAGCAACCATGATCATTATTGCGGGCAACGGATGTTTCTTCCATCTTAATACCGACACCTGAAAAGTTTCAAAACATTGCAATTAACATTAAACAATATTTTTTAAATGAGACCTTATTAATGGCCTTAGGTGTGATGAAGTACTAGGTAGTAATGAGATTGATGTATATTGGAAAAAATCAAAGTCCCATATCGACTAGGGATTAGACAATTAAATAGTATATAAATGGAAAACAACCCTCACCTTACAAGCCGGTTTTATAGGGTTGAGTTAAGCTTAATCCACTATTCTAAGAATGTACTTGCTTGCTTTATATATTCACCAAAGAGATTATACAAACTTTCTTTAATCATTCGACCAGCCAGCTCTGGCTTTTGCAAAATTTTAACTATAGGATAGTTGGTCTTGAAGAGAGTTCTTAACCTTTGAAGGTGAATCACGAGTTCTTCCTCTCCATTGGAGAACTCTTTGAAGTTTAAGAAGTATCAAGAAGTTAAAGATCTAGAAAGAAGCTTGAAAGTAAAGTGATATCAATTACGTCTCTCCTTGATGTTTCCATCACACTATTTATAGAAGAAATGGTTTTGCGAAATGAAGCGTCGCGTCTCCCTAAACCGTTAGATCCTTTTGATGTCAATGACGAAGAAAGGTATTCCTCTGTGTGCGAAACATTTCACATTCACATTATTATAAGTGCTATGACATGTCATCATTGCATGCAAAATGACTACTAAAATGACAACGTATCCAGAAGGCAATAATTTCAAATCTCAAAGCGAGAAACAATATTTTCGACAATTGACTATGCATTCAACTCTTCTCTCATAAGTTGAAGACTTAGGAGACTTATGTATTATCAGTCTTCGTGACTAGAAGGACATTGAATAGTCATCTATAAGGTCGAGAAGTATTTGGTATGGTCAAACACCTCATCACAATCATGAAAAAAGTAACGTCGGGTCGTTACAAAGAAATAAAAGGTCTTAAATACACTTAATTGACTAAATCATCAACGGTAACATCCTTTTATCTATAAATATACATTAATTTCACTTTTATGAGATATGTAATTTTACAAACAATATCGAAACGTTCCAATTACTTGCTAACTTTGTCATCAAAGTTCCTTTTGCAGGTACAACTGACATATGAGACTTATTGTTTAGTCACTTGGTAAATAATACTTGTATCTTGTTGAAGATAGAGGAACTCAATCTGGTTGGATCGAGAATTGGACATAGTCTTTTAGTTGGATACGAACTAGTATAAAAAAGACTCGTGTCATTTCATCTATTTTACCACTTTGGCTGATTACCTTTTAGTATTTCATCTTTTTGTACTCTTCACTTATTCACTGCAAAAAAGCGTGAGTTTTTTTATATACATTATTCAACTCCCCTTCTAATGTGTATCTTTCTCTCCAACAAGTTGGGTAGGAGCAACATTAAGATTTTTAAGGATACTAGTAAAGAAAGGATTAAAAAGAATAATGATATTGAGGTCTCAAAAGAGACAATCATACATATAAAAGAAATGCCATGAATCCTAAGGATCTTTCGGAGCAAAATCATAATCAAGATTTAGAGAGGCATCAATTTTGCAACATCTAGCAAAAATTGAATACGACACCTCTTCAATAAGAAAGGTAGAAATCGTGACAAGATCAACAAAGTTTTCAAGAGCTCTCAGATCTTTAAAACAATAATTATACGTGGAAACCTCTTAATATACCCATTCAAATCCTAGAACTATCTTAAAGTTTCTATCGGGTCTAAACCATCGGCTTAGGCCAAGGACTCAACCTCTTCATGGTTTAAGTTATCAGCTCAGGTTGAAGTCTCAACCCTTTTATAAGGAGAAGTATCATTAGAAGATAAATTAGAAAAGTTAGGCGAAAAGGAACCAAAAGAGGAAGAAGATGAGGAATGGATCACTTTTACCTAAGTAAGAAAGTAGAGGACTACTCAGAGGTGAAATAAGAAGGATCAAAAGAGTGCTCAAAAAAGGAGAATTATCAAGGAGGCCCAAGTTTGGTAAAAATGACTTCCTATTTATAGTGAGGTAAAAGAGGGGAGTGGAAGATCATAGTTGTTGGATCAAGCGTAAATCAATGGGTATTATCAAGGGACTATTTATATGCTCAAAAAGTGTGATTCCTCATTTCAAATAGGAAAATGAATAAGCATGACAATTCACAAAAAAAAATGTTACTAAAACAACATTGTCAAAGAAATTAATGAGATGTAACATGTGAAACGACTTTGCCAGGTTCTCTTTCATTTTATAATTAAAATTTTTTGAAAGCCTTATAGCATGTATGTTGGAAGGGTTTGGTCAAAGGGTAAAGCCGAATACTCCTCAAATTGTTATCGAAGACTATATTAATCCACGAATATTACAAAAGCATCATTAAATATAATTAAATAATTAATGGACCTATCATTAGGACTCAAATCCAATAAAATTAACATAAATAGTGATTTATTAAGAAGAAAAATGTACTTTTACATTTATTATAATATTAATTATGTTGACTTATCTGGAGATCGAAGATTGACTTGAGCGTTAAAATGTCTTTTATAGTATTCTCCTTTTTTCTTTCTTAGAAAAATTACTCATTTCATTATTAAAGATAGGTGGAGTATATTTAAAATCTTTTGAATAAAAACAATAAAAAATTATGATAATATAAAAGATGAAGATTATGAGAATAAAGACTTATAAAATAAGGAATTAAATTTGATAAAATTACCTATATAGTTTTCTATATTTACACGTACCATTAATTAATCCATATATGGTGTTGTATCATCTGAAGCGTATGTACATGTGAGTGTGAATGTGATACGTATGAGACGATACTTATACACACATGATTCCTGATTTCAAGGGGCCACTTTTGCTCCACGTCCCGGAGTTCCCACTTCTTCTTATTTTTCCACTTAATTAATTAGACGATCGATTTTTATTTTATTTTTAAAAGCTTTCAAGAATGGAAGCTTACCTGTACTGTGTTTGGCCAATGTTAAGCAAGCAGCTAGCAAAAATACAAGTGTGGTGGCACCAAAATAAAAAGTATATATCCTCACGGATTTAATGGTAATGGTGGTCAATATCCGCGGGACGTGAAACCCTTATATTATTAAGATTAAGATTAAGATTAAGATTAAGCCGCACTTTCCAAGTCATAACTAACGCGTTTCACCCTTCACCAACTATCACATAAAAGTACTCAAACCATCTCTTTAGTCGTCTATATATACAACACGAAAACTAAGAAATCAAACACTATTTTCACAACCTCTTTAGGCATGCACATGGAGAAACCAAGAGAAGAAAAGCTTAGAAACGTTTGGGATTGTGGCAGCACCCTATATGACTCCTACGAGCTAAACTCCTTCAAACACCAATTGGACTCAGCAATAGCCAATTCTCCGAGAAATAGAAGAACCCTTTCCATGCCTCACCAACGTTGTCTCTCACTTCAACAACCTCAACCTCAACCTCAACCTCAAACACCCGTGTCTAACAACAAGTCTTTCAAGATCTCTCGAACCTTCCACAAACTCCTTCGCTTTGTTTTCAAGCCCACCAACAAACTAAGGGGCCCTAGTAACAACATTAGTAGTTTCCGAGTGGAAGATAAATATTCCAACAAGGACCGTTTATACATCGTTTATGATAAGTCCGAACCGGTCCTCTCCACAATTCCCGAACTTCCGGAGTTTGAGGTGGCTGTGGTTTCGCCTGAGATCACTTCCTTGGTCAGAAAGTCAGCGTCGGAGCGCTTTACGCCCACCAACGCTATCGGTATTTCGTGTGCTTAACAAAGGATCATCATAATTAACAATTATTATTATTTCATCTCATAAATAGTATTAGTGTGGCTTGTGCTTTTTTCTTTTTTTACAAGTTTTGATGATTCACGATGCAATTGTTTAATTTATGAAGCGCGTATAGGAATGTGTAACTTGGACGGTTATGTGACTTGTCATTATTATTAATAAAATACTCCACAGTTTTCGGTCCACGAAATTAAAGAGAAAGTGATTTGATTAGGATTGGGATCGGAGTCAACTATAGAGGTGATAGTTAAATTTTGATTTAGATGAATAGGTGGAGGCGCATCCATATTGAGGCCGCGGAGGTGGTTTATCAACTTTTCAACTACAAAGTAGTTTTTAACTATTTATATAATCAAATTTTACAGTCATTCCTATGCAAAATAATTAGATAGGTAGAATATATAAGTGTGGGAAACAATGCACTTTCAACCACCTGGAAAATAAGTCAGGTTAAACTCACTTTTTTATTGGAGATTTAATTCGTAGAGAGTTAAGTTGGATTCACTTGTTTACTCAGTAAAAAATATATATAGATTTTTATTTTTATTTATCTTAAATTTTCTCTTAAAGTTATGATCAATATAACTAGAAAACTAGTAATTTAATAAATGATTTAAATGTTTAGCAAGATATATACTCATCTATTTCTACTCATTTATAAGCATGTTTGACCAACTTGTGCGTTAATTAAAAAAATAATTAATTTTATTTAATATTGTTAACTTCAATTAAAAATTATTTTTTTTATATGACCCTTCATTAAAATTTGATAACGACTTCATTGAAATTTGATATCAAGAATAATTTTTTTTATTAAAACTATAATTTTAATTAAATGAAATATATTTTGAAATAATATTATTAAATAGAATAAAAGTAGGTAAGATATATTTATATTTAGGTCCACAATTCATGAGATTTTTAACTTCATTTAAATGCGTTAGCTTCATTTTGGGGATAATATTTGACTCTACAGGGATACATAATAACTTAATTAAGAAGTATAAAATAAATCCATCAATGATATTAAATAAGTTTATAATATAATTACATATAATTCTATCAATAAAAATAAAATAATATGTGTGTTTATTTGATTAGTACACGTCTGGACAGCAGATAAGATATTAGTAACTGTGAAGTGTAATGATCTGAAAGCCCAAATTGAAAAGGGTGGCCCAATAGGCCGATTTGAGAAATTGATGGGTGGGAATGTTGCATGAAGCAAGAGATGAGAATTGAGAATTGAGATAGAATAGCAGAAGAGAGAAGAGTGAAATGGCGGGTGCCATGAGCTTGACCCTTCCCGTTGTGACTCTCTGTAAAGGCACCAAATTTGTGAAGCCTCCAACAAGGTTTATGCAACATGGAAGCAGGGAATGGAAGCGTTGCAGAAACAGAAGAGTGATCGTGTGTGGGCTGCCACTGCCTGTTGATCCATGGGCCCCCACCATCGACTCTCAGAGCATCGCTTCCCAGCTCTTCGCCTTTTCCTTGTTTCCATACATCGGATTCTTGTACTTCATTACCAAGTCCAAGACTGCTCCAAACCTCACCCTCTTTGGCTTCTACTTTTTGCTTGCCTTTGTCGGAGCCACAAGTTATTTTCTTTATCTCCCTCTTTGCTGCAATTATATTCAAGTTTCATCACTGTTGTAACAAAATATGAAATAACTCTTTAGTACCTCAAATAACTATTTTATTTACAATTCTCAAGTTTAATTAGTATCATAAGATTTTATGTTTCAACTTTGTGTCCCTCAGTGTAGTTAATTACAAATAAAAATAAAATTACAATTTTTATTTTGGTGCTCGAATATATATTCAGTCATATTTTCTTTTATAAATTTTAGTTAGACTACTATAATCGTTAATTTGTACTTTCAAATACTTATTTGATATATTTTTTTAGTTTCAGTTAATATGATAGCATTTTCCAAATTCATAGGCTAATCATTATTTACTCTGATATTAACCTTGCTGATTTGCTATGTTTTGAACCTGCTTTTTCTATGGCGCGGCACAATTGAGCAGTACCAGCTGGGATTTATGGTGAGTTTTAAGTTAAGTTGTTGAAAATGATGTTCAGTTTGATTGGCTCGATATGTAAAAAAGATGAGTGGTGATTTGTGTTTGCATGTCACCGCAGCGAAGGTGCATTATGGGACTTCTTTGTCCAATGTGGACTGGTTACATGGCGGAGCTGAGTCCCTCCTCACTCTCACTAACTTGTTCATTGTGTTGGGTCTCAGAGAGGGTCTCAGGAAGGCTCAAAATTCACAAGATGATGAAAAAACACCCTCTCCTAACTCGGGCTTGGAGGAGGAGGAGGAGGAGAAGAAGAACAAACGTGGGAATCTGGTTTGATATTTGAAATTCATTATGTTGTCACTTTTATTGCAGCATCTGGGCTGTTTTGTTTTGTATATAGAATGGATTATAAATGCTGGAAATTTGTGTAATTAAAGCATCAATTGGAATGAAATCTTACAGGGTTTTGGTCAGCATATCCAATTTTGATGTGCCATTTTGTTTCTTTTCCCTTTATTTCCCTTTAGTAATGTTCTAAAAGCTCACTCTTATAATATTGATTATTTTTTTGAGATGATGTAATCTTGTAACTTAAATTGCCTTATCAGTTGTTCTTTGTGACTGCTATTCTCTTCTACTAAAGATGTGGCTTGTAGGTTGTACCGAGGAAAATTTAGAGCACCTTTTAATCTGAAAGTACAAACTGCTTTTTGATAAACAATGCCAAAATTGTAATTCTGATATTGACTACAGTGACATTCATGAGTGCTGCAGTTGCTGATTCTTTATTCTACAATTCTACTGCTGTTTGAACTTGTCCTATTTTGGGAAAATTATATGCTTATAGGATTCCATTATAGTACAATCAAGAGAAAAATCCTGGGGTATTAAAAGGGAAATTTGGATCAATTTCCACTGGATCAAGTGAGAAATTGAAATCGGGAATTGGAGAATTGGTTGCTGATGTGTTGGTGGAAATGATCTCATTAACTTCAGAATCCGAATTCGGCTTGTTATAGATCCCATCAAACTCATTCATCTGGAAAGTTGGAGATGAGAAGTAGTGTGATTCTGGTGTAGTTGGAGATAACAGGTGTGTTTGGTATAGGTCACTCAAGAAGGATTCGTTCCCTAGGGATGAAGGAATCAAGCTGTGGTTTTCTTGTTGCATGCATCCAAATGAAGTTGAAGGGAAAGTGAAAGGATAGGTCATATCTCCACTGTCCAATTTATCTGTGCTGACAGCCAAGATGTTTCTGAACTTTGTAAGGCTTTCATGTGATGCCTGTGCATGGTGAATATCAATGTTATGACTGTGTGGTTTCTCTTGTTTGTCTGGTGACTTAGGTGGCATAACAGCATTGTTTCCCTGGGAACAGGTATGCTTTCCTCTGTAAGTTATGTCAAATATTGTAGGATCTTCATCTGACCTCTGTACTTGTTTTGTGGCCCAACAGCCCTGAGTGTTGCGGAAGGTGCACCTATAGTAACTTCTGCAAGTGTCACAATGAGTTTTTAATTAGAAGTTTATCATGAACAATACTTGTGATTCTTTTCTAAAGCATATTTTAGGGAAATCCTCTCACCTTGGATATTTGGCACCAAGGATGTCTTTCTGACCATATTTTCTCCAGTTGTAGCCATCTTCATGTGGTCCTTCAAGACCACTCTCGCAGCTCACTCTTACTTGGTCCATCCATTTGGGCATTGTCTTTCTGAAATCAATTAAAAACAAATGGTTAGGAGCTGTAGTATATAATCAGACATAGTTGATGTTTATGTAGCAGCAAACTGCTACCAAGTCTGCCTAGTAAAATTCACCTTTTCTTTGAATCATGTTTAACTTCCTGGTGATCCTTGATGGTCCCATCAACGTCCTCACTCAAAGGACTTCCATGAACAGACAATGGGGACTCTGGTAACCGAGTCGCTGTTGCTTGACTCATGGCCTGCAACTCGGAAGTTGATGCATTGCATCTTAGAATTAGTAGAGCCTTTTCATAAGAAGATAATATCCTCTGCACCAGTAAATCTCTTGTGCCGGCCGAATACGGCGTCCTCAAGTCCGCCTTCAACTTCCTTGCTACCTCCATCCCTTGAATTAACTCATTGATGAGCGTGTTCTGCTCCCAGCTCCATTCATTCTCCATTTTGTGTTGTTTATAGTAGCGACAATATTCGTAGATGATGGTGCTTGATGTTTATTTCATACCCAATAGCCTCACTTCTACTCTGGAAACGCACTTATATCTAGAACCAATAGTTTATTTTTCTGTAGCAGAGTTGTAAGCTGAAGTTTATGAGAGCCTTGGAATGGTGAAGTGTGGTAAACAATGAACATGGACGTAGTAGCCAGAACGAGACTTGAAATTTCAAATGGGTTTCTTAGGATTGATTAGTTAGTAGTTGGAGCAGAAGAGAAGAGAGCGTGAGTGAGGCTAAAGGAGCAAAGGGTATTTGAGATAAGGTGTGTTTTTTTAGTTGAATGAATGGCTTGTATTTATAGGGTGGTACCTTTTGGGGGTTTGATTTCCAAATAAGGAGCAAGGGAAAGGAAGGGGTGTTGATTCGTTGAAGGGTTGAAAGTCCAAGTTTGACTGAGAAAAGCGAGTTTTTCAGCTAAGACCGGTATTTGGTCAGTGCATAGTGTGATGAATTAAAATTGTGACCAAGTCCACTCAAGCTGGATAAGTTATTGTTGGTTAATGATAGGCCCATGTTCCTTTTGATTTTGAAGAGTTCGAATGAAGAGAATTTTCCAACATTACTCCGCGTTGTCGCTTGGCCCCTTACTACTATTACTTTTTTTCCATTGGCGAAGAGAAAGAAACATAGAAGACTGCTTACGCGACATGGTTGTTGCCATCTACTCAATTTCCTCGTTGATTTTCGCTCACTCTTCGCCCAAGTCAACATAAAATACTAATACATACATAGTTTCATACTCTACTGTTGCTCACTCTTGGTTGTTGCTATATATTCAATTTCCGATCTGCAGTCTTCATATTCGAGAAAAATTAGTCTGATAAAACATTTGACAGAGTTAACTTTACAGCGACTTCTCGCATGTTTGGTGTTTTTGGATGTTATTTTACAAGCTAATAGTTATAACATTTATAAGTCTCTTTGGATAAATTTTTCTAGAAAAATTTTTGGAAAAAAATATAAAGAAAAATTAAAATAATTTTTTTCATAAGTTACATAAATTAAAAATAAACTTCTAGAAAAGTTGATAAAGAAACTTTTACAATAACTTACGAATAAGTTAATCTTAGCTTAGAAACTTATTTTATTTTTTAATTTTCGTTTTCTCTTTCAAATAGAGAAGTTTGGAGGAGAAAAGAGCTCACGAACTAGGGTCTTTTTCTCTAAAATTCTTCTCTAGGTTTCTTTGAGAATGAACTTACAAGGTTCTATTCTCAGATAAAGTCTTAAATGCCCTTCCTTCTAGTATCCACTAACCTTAAACTAACTCACTATATCATAATAAGACCAAAACAATTTATATTTCCTCGTTGAAATAAAACATAGACATATCAATATTAATTTCCTTTGTGTAGGTCGAATAAGGTAGATGGTTCCACGCGTCTTCCATTTGCTTGTTCTTGGAAAGGAATCTCTTCAATCATTTTTCTCCTTTTTTCTTTTTTTTTTCTCTTCAAAACCGAAGGGTGTAGAATGCTTGTGCGTGTGAAGTGGGACTCTGAATTGACTATTACTAAACAGGGTTGGGTATATTCATGAGGAAAATGTTCTCTAGCAGAAAGGAAAAATTTTTATTTTGAAACTTATATGCTTTTGTGATGCACATCTACCAAAAGATAAACAAGATAAGTAAAAAGATTATGCATGATGTTACATACAGTATTAACTTCTTGATTTTAGCATTACATTAATTTGTCTCCCTTCATATTGTAAGAACATACCAACTTAGAGAGATTTATATATAAAGTAAGAGTTTATATAGTAATAATATGGTAACAAAGAAAATACAAATAAATGTTATATAAAAAAAATACAAATAGAACGAAAAATGTTGAATATAATTAATATGGCTAAATCTGAAAAGTTGGGACTATAATTTAACAAATATATATATATATTATCATTTTAATGATACTTTATGTTAATATTACATGTAAACTTGTTTTTGTTTTTTATCTATAAAAATTTCAATAATAATAACAAAAGTTAAATCTAAAATTTTACACATATTATATCAAACTTTCATCACTAAGTCAAGCTCATATTATATGTAAGTCTTAAGATTTAATTAATAATTTTTTATTTTTATTTTCACTTCTTTTTATTTAAACATTTTCCCCTTCCTCGATATATACTAACTATTCATATCTATAAAATATAATAAAAGAAAGTTATACCTTCTACACGTCTCATTCATCGGAAGAAATTTTTCCTCGTAAAATCAGACCCAACTTTTTTTTTTCTTTTATTCATCTTTCTTTTTTCCAATTATATTTTAATATTAAATAATTAATAAAATAAAAGAATATCATAAAATTTTAGATTATTGTTAGTTTTATATATTTTAAAACTGTTTAAAAATTATAATAATATTTTTGTTCACTTATAAATATTATTACATATTAATATAATAAATACCTTTTCAATATTTTTATTAACAGATAAAAAAATTGTTTTCTGGATAAATTTAATTTTAAAATCATTACAATGCTAATTTGAATTTATTTTAAAAATATAAAAGATATTAAACATTTTATTTTATTTTAAGAATCTATTTTAAATTTCTTGGAATAATTTTAAAATTATAAGAAATTGTTTCAAAATTTAGAATTCTTATTTTGAGATTTTATACAAAGTGTGAGTATGATTTTAAATTCAATTTTAATTTTCAAAATTAAAAAATATTCTTTGGTAATATATGTCTTAAAATTATGATTTTTTTAATCAGTTTTTTCCAAAAATTAAAAAATAAAAAAAAATCTAAACCATAAATAATAATATGTTTATAATTAAGTAATATTCTACTATAACATATAATTAGTAATTATACCATGTATGGATTTACGTGTATAAATAATAATATAATTAAATTTTGAATATATTTTTAGTATTTATAAAATAAGTGAGTTTCAATTTTAGTTCTTGATTTTTTTATTTTTCATTTTAATTATTTTTTAGTCTTTGTAATATAATTAAGTTTTAAATATATTTTAGCCTCTATAAAATAAGTGAGTTTCAATTTTGGTTCTTGAAATTTTTTTCTCTATTTTTATTTTTCTAAAATTTGTAAACATTATTTTTAATCTTTATAATATATTTTTGTCCTTATAAAATGTGTAAATTTTGTTATTAGTCTGGTAAAATGCTTTTTTTTATTATTTTTATTTCTCTAAAATATAAAATCACTATTATTAGTTCCTAACAATGATTTTAACAATTTAAAATAATGACTTTTAATGACTCTATTAAATAACATAACAATTATCCTCAAAATTTAACATATATAATTAGTTATAATTAAATATAAATATTTTTGTGTAAATAGCCCTTTGGAACAAATTTTTTTAAGATAATTTTATGGTGTATTATTGTAATCTCATGTTGAATGCTATATGCTGATTCTTTCACACGCTTATCCTTTATTTTTCTTCTGATTGGAGTTACAATGATCATATTTGGTATATGAGTAGTACAAGATTATTTGGATTGTTTGTTTAGCTGTAAAAGGTCATGCTAATGGTAACCCAGTTTTGATGATGCTACCTTGATGTAGCATGATTATCGTATAGATGTTTTATTTTTTAAAATTCAAATAATTTTAGATTAAACTATTTTTATTTTTTAAAATATTTAAAAATAAAATGTTTTTTTTAGAAGAAAAATCAAATGTTAAAAGTTACTATTTAATATATTTATTATAGATTCATAAGAAGAAATATAACATTTGAATATTAGGTTAAAATAAAAAAATTTGGCCTCTCCTTTATTATTTTAATTAAGTTTTAATCAGGTCCCTTGAAAGTGTTTTTATTATTTAAATTGAATTTTTTATCAATTCTTTACACTAATTAACAATGTAAATTTTAATTTACAGAACATCTTTATAACTTGTCACATGTCATTAAATTAACAAAATTAATGAGATAAACTAACAAAAGAACTAGCTTAGTCTAAAAGAAATATTTTAAGTGAGTAAAGTAAAACTTTTTAAATTTAGAAAACCAAATTGAAACCAAAAATAAAAATAAGAGACTAAAATTCTATTTTAGTCAAAAAAATAAAAATAAAAAAACAAAAATAATTATTAAAATAAATAAATTGATAATAGGTCGTGAGACTTGCATTCAATATATTAATAAATAAGTGTCATGTGTGTATGGTAGAGAGCATTGAATCATGTTTAATTATAACAAGAAATAACTAATATAATATTATTTTAATTTATACAGTAAGTGGTGATCTTAAGTTGGAGTGTTAAGTAAGTTAAATCCATGTTGTCAATGGTGATTTATTTGGCTTGGGTAAGATTGTATCCTGTGCAAGATAAATTTGTTTTATACCAAAATAAAAAATAGAGAGAGGAATAACCAACATATATATTGGTTGTTCACCTCTTCTCCATTTTCACGATCTCCTGAAGGAAATTAATTTGGTATATATTCGGTAGGCAAAAAGGCTAAATAAAGGTGATGTCCTGGTGACATGATTGAATGTGAAACAAAAATATTGTGATATTCTTCGTTCCATCAAGAAAAAGGAGATTCCAAGTTTGTTGATTGATGGAACATAACTGGGAAGCCAATTAATGCCTTCCCAATCCTATATATATATAAGAGCTTACTCTCAAAACTTGCAAGCACCAAGCAAACCAGAAAGAACTAAGAAACAGAGTTTCGAGCGTATATTCATCAGCATGGCCTCCGTTCAATGCCAAAAAACCTGCGAACAAAGCTGCCAACAGAAAAGCCAGCCTGGTTTTGGGCACAAGGTGGCTGACTTCTTCAAAGGGCACCATAATGAGGCCTCCAAAACCCACACTCACACCCAAACCCTTTCCCACTCAGCCCACACCAACACTAAAACACACTGCGGTTGCACCCAAACAAACGCCACTCATCATCACTCCAACACAAAAAACCAAGGCAGAAACAAGAGGGAGCACAAGAAAGGTCTGCTGCACAACATCAAGGATCGCTTCTCTGATCACAGCAGTGATGACAGCAGCGACAGTGAGAGCGACAACGAAAGTTGCCACAAGAGGAAGGTATATAATCTTTATATTATAGGACAATAGGACATTGATTAAAGAATCAATCTGTAGACAAAAAATTTTAAACTGTAATAAAGTTTCACAAAGAATATGCAGGTATATTTTTTAATAAAAACTTCTTACTTTTTTATTCTTTTAACCAGTGCACTTAGAGTACTCGATAGCATTTTCCATATGATAATCATACATCATATTTTATATATATATTATCATTCGTTTGTGATACTCAGTCTGACTATATCTGACACGATGCTGTATGTGTACATGCAGGATTGAAGTTGAGAAGTTGTACTAATAATAATTGGAGTTCGATCGCAACTCATAGGTGTGATGTGGAGATTGTGGTCCATTATAAAATAAATAAAAAACTATACCAAAGAAGAAACTAAATAAAAGTACCTAAAAATAAATATGTAAACCGATGTACTTTAGTTATGGTGCAAGTCTGAGATCGAGACATTGAGACCTATCTAAAGTAAATGCATGTACTATGATATATATTCCACCTTCCTATTATGAATAAAACTGTGCGGTGTTAAAATCTATTTTTGCTTCATTTTTTATTTTTTTGTTTGTGATCTCTACATCATGTCCAATTTATCAGCAATCTTACTCTCATGACTAGTATATATCTTCTGGATCTTGCGTAAAAGTGAGAGTTTTATATTTTATAAATTGTTTCGAGTCTTAGATGTATACATTTAGACCTATCTAAATTAAATTCATGTACTATGATATATATTCCACCTTCCTATTATGAATAAAACTGTGCGGTGTTAAAATCTATTTTTGCTTCATTTTTTATTTTTTTGTTTGTGATCTCTACATCATGTCCAATTTATCAGCAATCTTACTCTCATGACTAGTATATATCTTCTGGATCTTGCGTAAAAGTGAGAGTTTTATATTTTATAAATTCTTTGTGGGAGGGGGTAAAAAAATAAAATAAAATAAAAACTACAAAACAATCGCATGGGGGAGTATAAGAAATCCCATGAAATCAAGAAGTATAAATTGCCCTACTTTGGATTGTGAATGTATAGAGAAGCACAGTCCTAACATTGTGAGTAAAGCTAAGATTTGCAAGAGAATATATGCAGTAACTAACTTCCTTATAAGTATGACAACGTTTCTGGATTGCGACAAGCCGACAACTAAAGTTTTTGCCCTCATATGTTAACGTTACTGGTACGCATGTCTCTTTTAATTGTGTTTATCACAACCATATAATTCATGTGAAGCTGGATCATAGGAAATCCTTTCATCCAAGCCAATATATAAGACCTTCACAAGCTCCCAATAATTTAGCACCATAAGCGGAGACTTTGCCAAAGAATTTTAAGAAATCCCCCAACCGTTGGCTAACCCCCTTAATCCACTGCAACCATACCAGCATCTAGCTTGTAGCTAGGCTCCATTTGTATTTAATCTAATCCACAAAAAATTATTATGTAATCTAAAACTATATCAAGTGTTTATGATTTCACTCAATCACTATATAATATATATTTAAATTTTTTAAATTTATGAAAAAATAATAACTTATTATATAGAAACTAATTAAAAACCATATTATTCAAGAACACTTAATAACTTCTCTTAATCCACCCCTTAGGATGTGAGGACCTCATTATGTACATTTATGATATAGGTCTATTGGTCCTTAGATTAAATAATGTTTGGTGATACCATTACATGAATATTGGTAAGCGATCCTCCAAGGTTGAATAGATCTCAAAAAGGTCTTCAGTATTAGCACAAATTAAGAACCATTTCCATTCTTCCCCATATGTAACCAGGCATTTGCTAGAGAACATGCAACAAGCATCGTAGACAAATGAAAACAATAAGGACCAGTTATCCATTTAGCTAATCTTTGATTAGCAGGTAGCCTACCGTAATTAACTTGTCCTAAACCCTACATGGACGGAAAAATCGTGTAAAGGAAGTTTTGTCTTTTGCTATTTTCATTTGTGGTGTTGTGTGTCTCATGCCTTTGATTTCTGTTGTTATACATGAAAATGTTTGTTTCTCCAATAATGATATCAAAAAGTAGATTGTGCATCCCAATAATAATCAATCAAATGAATAGTAAAGTTTGATGAAATTGATGGTAAATCCATATATAATCCTTATGTTGAAAGTCTTTTTATAACATGAGAGTCAAACAATTTGTCCAAATAACAGTAACTATTAATGGCACTACAAGTACAAGGAGTATTATAGTCAAATACTTGTGAAATATTAAGATAAGAGGTTTAGTGAAGAATTTACCGAAAGTTTGCAAAGCATAAGCATAATGTGGAAGAAAGAAAAAACATGAAGATGATTGTGATATGAGTTGAAAATTTCAATTTCCTAAATAATTATTGGGAGAACAATTTAAAATTTTAATTTCAAATATGTTAGATGTTATTTAAATTTAAAGATATTATATAATCTTTATAGTGTTATTTAAATTTAAAGATATTATCTTTATTTTAGATATTTACTTATTCTTTAAAATTTGGATGCAAGGGATATAAAATAGAATTTATTTGATTCGGAGAAGTCATTACTTAGAGTAAGAGGAGGTAATGTGAAGGTGAGTTTTTTAAGTTTGTGTTGAAAAATTGTTATCATACCTTAGCATCTTAGCAGGGATGTACAAAAAAGTTCAATAAATCAGTTTAAATTTAAAACTGAACCGCATCATTTAAAAAACAATTTGAAAAAAAAATAAAATCGCATTATTTATATATAATAGATTTTAAAAACTGAAGCACATTGATAATTAAGTTCGGTGGACCAGTGCATAATTTTTAAATAATAAAATTAAATTAAATTAAAATAATTTACTTGTATCTTTTATATCTCATGGTTTAATTACATTATTGTATAAAATATTTAAATATTATTTATAGTAATTGTGTTTTTTATTTTTATTTTTATTTTTTTAACTTTTAATTATCTTTAGATTATAAAAGTAAATATCAATTATCAAATCATGCTTAATAATTAATTTTTCGCATGACAATTATAATTTGACAATATTTTTGAGTTGACCTCTGGGCTTGTTTGTATAAACTTTTTTCTTTTAAAAAATATTTTTTAGTAAAATAATCAAAAAAAATTTCTTTTATGGTGTATTTGTTTATTTAATTAGTCTCCAAGTTAAATGTCTAAATAGTAAAAAAAATTATTTTGTCTAAAGAGCACATTGATCATGATTTGTTCATAATTTTGGGGAAAAAAGCTATTTTTTTTCTTAAGAAAACCAGTTTAAAATTGGTTCAATTATTAAAATTAAATCAAAATTGATTTCGTTATAAAATATATTTTAAACCTATTTATAAAAATGATATGGTTATAAATTGGTTTATCGATGTAATTTTTTTAAAAAATCGAACCATGCGCACTCCTATATCTAAGATTAATATTGTTGAGATATTCTCATATGTGGAGATAGACAAGATTAGTGCTTTAAAACCTGATTCAGATTGACAAGTTGAATCGATCCTAGTGAGACCCAAATAGCAAATTGATTCAAGCTAATAATCAAATCAGATATATTATTAACTCAATTATGACATCATCAACACAATAATAACTAACACAAACTTGGGTTGAACCACTTGAATTTTCCAATAAGATTTGACCCCTAGTCTGAATAGTTAAAATTACACTAAATTATGCTCGACCAGATCAACAGTTATTTATATTTTTAAAAAAATAATATATATATATATATATATATATCTTAAATGTAAAATTTATAATATTTAACACACATATATAGAGAAAGAATTCACTATTTTACTTGCTCTAATTGTAAGAGATTTATTTTATTCAATAACACATGTTTTATATTAAATTTACTTTCCATGATTATTTAATATTTTGATAGCCACTAAACTAGCATACATATTATGTTGTTATACAACTAACTTAAATAATTTATATAATAATTTTTTAATTTAAAATTATATATTAATTTATATTGTTCAATCAGTCTATAATTTAGTTGTTCTTTTAGTATTATGTTGAATATAATTTTTTGAAAACTTCTTTAATGTATGAATTTTATTAAAATATATGACATAAATATATATTTTTTAAAATAATTAATAAAAATCGGTTCTTGCAATTTAATTAGTGACCATTAATTTAACCTCGGATTCACTGAATACACTAACAGGTTTAATAGCCTATCCAATTTTTAAAACATTTGGATAAGATTGCCCCATTCATATTAATTAGTGTTTTTGTCATCATTGGATGAATCGGGACAACTTTAACTAATTACTGGTTTTAATAAAGTTATACAACAGCGAGGGACAACTGCTTAACAAGTTGACCGTGAAGATTATGATTCTAATCATACAAATAGACAAGTGATGCTTAAAAGAACTTGTTTAACCGCTTCGAATCAATGATTGAGATTATGATTCTTATAATACAAATAGAAAACTTATGGAGTCGTTTTCAACTTGTAAATTTGAACTGTGAAACTTAGTTAAAGCTCTAATTTCAAAGTTCATATTTCTCAATATGGTAGATAAATGTTTATGAACAGTTTTTGAGATGCCGAATCCTCAACAGAGGAGAAAAAGAAATCCAGAGAATTTTAATAGCCAATATGCCAAATGAGTTGTTCACCAGAAACGAAAATGTCATATTGGCTTTTCTTTTCTTGAATTCTTGGTCCACAAATTGAGTGGGAACCTACTCAACGTGTCTGTGTGATCTATGATCCATCAAATTAGGTTCTTGCTCTTAATTTATTTTCTGATACGTTGTGGAGGGACGCAGAGAATAAGTTCCGTTTTCTGACTATTGATAAAATGATTAGGCTACTTTTATTCAGACCATATTTCAAGAAAGCATAATTGAATTGTTATTTTATTTCTCCACTACGAGGGGAGGGGAGGAGCCTCACTCTCGTCTATGCATGCCAATAAAAGGCCCTCAATACACTACCATGCAACTGCAAGGAAACAAACAAAACACATCTAAGCAAAGCAAAACATTGCAATGGCTTCTGCTCAGTGTGAGAAACCCAAAACCACAGTTGAAGTTAGCCAATCAAAATGCCACAACAAACCCAATGCCACAGTTGAAGCTAACCATCCAAAATGCCACAACAAACCCAATACCACAGTTGAAATGTGCCAACCCAAAAGCCAACACAGTTCGTTCAGCCAAAAGTTATCTGAGATAACTAGCAAGGCTTTCAAAGGGCACCAAGCCCGTCATGGCAACAACCAAAATCAACTTCAGTGCTATAGCCAAACTCAGGTTGAGTCGCAGGGCCACAATGGAACCAAGACAGAGACTCACTCTTATAGCCAAACTCAGACCCAACACGACAAAAAACATGGAGTCTCCAAAACACAGATCACAGTTACCGTGGTCCAAGCACAAATCACCCATACTAATGAGAACCCTTCTCCTAATGGTACCATTACAACATGTTTTGGAACTCATGGGAAGAAGAATGGAGAGCTGAACAATAAGAAGGATATGAACTTGTTCCGGAGGTTTAAGAATGGTATGTCCCACCATAACAACAATGAAGGAGGAGGCAGCAGCAGTAGCAGTGATAGCGAAAGTGACAATGAGAAGTGTCCAAAGACAAAGGTAAGTAGGTAACTAAGTGCACTTAAATGCAAGAGAGTCTATCCTAAAAAATCTTTTTACGTTGAATGCATGTTGGGTTAGAACAAGATTGTTTGTTTCATAGATGAATCTTGACTTCTGTTTCTGATTGCGTCTGCAGAAATGAAATGAGCAGCTGCAAACAGGACGCAAATAAACAAAGCTTGGTCAAGGAAAGGAAAGAATATCCTTACTAATAATCAGTGTGTTTACGATTTGATGATGCTATTCTTGTACCCAATATAGTTGGGAGAAATAATTTCAATATTTCACTTTGCTGTGTATCTTATGATGAATAATAGATGCTATCCTATGCTTTTGGATTAATGTTTGTAAAATTGTTTGACGAAACTTAATTATGCAAAATTGATTTTAGTTCAAAGTGTGTTTAGGTGAATTAATTTGTGTTCTGGAACATTTACGTTAGAAGCAATTTTAATACAATGAATTATCATAAAGTTAAATGTATAATCATTAATATGGGTCCATAAATATTTTTAGAACGATTATATCTAATTAGGGTTGATGGATTGGTTGTTTTTATGGTGACATGGGGGTTACTAATAATCTAAAGGTTGAGCTACTTGCGATTCTACAAGAGTTGGAGTTGGCTTGGAGAAAAAATTTTCAAGATATTATTTGTGTTTCAGATTCACAAAACAACCTATTAATGGATGACTCTATGAATGGGTGACTCTGATCTGTGTCACAAGCATGCAGTTGTCATTGTCAAGATAAAAGATTGTATTCAGAGAGCTTGGAAAGTTAAGCTTCACCATTCATTGTGGGAAGGAAACCAGCGCGTAGATTTCATGTCAAAAATAGATTCTAGTTGTGAGATTGACTTAGTTATTGGAGGTTATGTCTATAGGATGAATCACCCTTGTGAAGATAGATGAATCCAAGACTATGTTCTTGAGGGTGTAATCTCCTTTTCTTTTGCTTGCCTTGTATTACCCAAAATAAATATATATATATATATATATAGGAGATTCTTAACATACTCTCACCTTAATTTTAGTTGGAGTACATTAGCAATTAACATCAAAACTTTTGGACCCAAAAAATCAATCAACTCTTATGTTTTAATAAATTTACTTGAAGGACATCATAGTATTTTATTATTTATTTCTTTAAAAAATAAAACTCATTTATTTTTCATATCCCTCTCATTCTCTCTCTTCCGTTCCTTCTTCCACTCATTTCTTTCTCATCTCCCATTGTTCAAAGAGACCGTCCTTCTTCTACTCACTTTCACTCTTCCTCCAACCATTTTGCTCTGACTGTGGTTTTCTAAGAGAAGACAAAACCACATGCATATACAACCTTTTAGAAGCCTAAAGACAACATTAAATGTTGAAAGCAACCTAGAGAATGTGACATAAAATCTTAAATAAACTCCCATTTCATTTGTTGACCATGCACATTCCGTTTAACATAAACAACTATGAAGAATAGCGAATGTTGCACTTCACCAAAAGGGAATAAAAAAATGCTTGTATTGTGATATACCAGCCAATATTGGATTTTCAAGAGCAAAAGAGAAAGCTGGCTCTAAACAATGGGGGAAGAGAGAGAAATGAATGGAATATGAGAAATAAATGATTTTTATTTTTTTAAAAAAATAAATAATAAATTACTATGATATCCTTCAAATAAATTTATTAAAACATGAGTACATTGATTTTTTGGTCCAAAATTTTTGGTGTTGATTACTAATGTACTCTAACTAAAATTAAGGTGAAAATATGTTATCAATCCTCAAATATAAATATATATATATATATATATGTATAAAATACTAACTATGATATTTTCATCAAACCTCTTTCAAGTTTCACGTGAATTTTTCTTCACTGCAAGAGCAACACATTGTTTTTGCCGTTAGACACAACAGAACCATGGTTTCCATGCTAAATCAGTTTTGCTTCAAAATTACTAAATATGTTGGTACAGATTTCATACTACAGTAATGGCATCATATGTTATTCTCTAAGATGAAAACGCCGATCCAAGCAAGAGATAGCACAGATATATAAAACTGCATTTAGTTAAACTAACAGTATCACCATATATGTCTATTCTGTTAACGAAGGAAAAGGAAAACCAAATTCCCAAAAGTATAATTACTGCCCACCTACCAGAACAAGGCCTAGATTACCACCATGCATGATACAACAATTCGTATATACAAACCTTGATACACTAAAGGAGTAACAAATGTAGGGGCATTCTTCATCCTTCAAGTGATCTGGAAATGAAAGCAGAAATGGCCTGCACAGCAGCATCTTCAGCTTCATCTTGGGTGGAATTGTTTGCTTGCAGGTGCTTCTTACCAATCTTGAAAGAGTGGTCACCACCATTGATGATATGCAGCTCATTTGGTGCTTTCATCTTCTTCCGAGTAGCTTCTAACTTCTCAAGTGGACAGAGACCATCCTTGCTGCCCTGTGCGAGGCACACATAAACACACATCTAGAATTAGAAGAAACATAATACAAACAATTTATGCATGCTGTATAGATAACCCATACAATACTAAAGATTATGAAAATTTTGACAGTTTATTCAATTAAATAACAGTTTGAAACTGGAATTGTGAATGTGTGACTATAAGACCATAGTCACTATACCATTCCACAATGGTTAATGACAAATTAGAAAAGAAAAAAAACTACCTGTACAAACATTGTAGGAACTGTTAGTTGTAACAGTGTTTCATCTCTAATTGCACCATTGATTCCCTGCAACATTGGCAACTAAATTAATGTGATTCTAAACGTTATTTAAAATCTGTACTTTAGTTGTAATGAAATCTGTCTTTTACCAAAACACCAAAAGAAAAACCAATGCTTCAACTATAATGTCTCAAATGTGGTATGCTAACAATTGCTCAAACAGAAAACTGAGAGTATCACAAGTGCAAATACAGCAAGCCAGTAAGCAATGAAAAGGAAAATATTAAGAGTAGCATAATAAAGATTATTGGATTCAGAGCTCCACACCACGTGAGCCAAGGACAAGGAGGACAACTTCATCAACTAAGTGCGCAAATTAAGATGGTTAGCGTAAGGCCAAAATGGCATAGAAAGCAAAATGCTTAAAATATGGGCATAATTAAAAGACTATAAATCCATGACTAAACTATAATTATCAACAAAAGGGATAAGTGAATATTGAATTATAGGAAAATCACAAATGAGGCAAGGAGTATACCCTATAAGATAAACAAATAATTGGAAACCTTCTCTAATACTCCTCCCCCAAGTAGGCATGGCAACGGGGCGGGGCGGGGCGGGGCGGGGGCGGGAAATTTAAACCGGGAAATTTAAACCGCCCCCGCCCCCGATACTTGCCGGGGATAAAATCTGAGTCCCCATCCCCGCCCCCGGCGGGGGTGGGCTCCTATTTTTTTTCTTCTTTTTTCTTTTAAATAAATATGAACAATTTAAAAAAAATAAAAGAAAAGTAAAATAATATAAATTTTTACATATAAATATTTATAATTTTAGTTTATATATATATAAAAATAATTTTTTAATTATATTATTAAGCGGGGTGGGGACGGGGGCGGGTATGTGGGCGGGGGCGGGATGGGTATTAACATCCCCGCCCCCACCCCCGCCCCCGATTTTATCAATCAGGAAAAACCCGAACCCGAACCCGAACACAAACCTGATAAACACGGGTTTTCCCCATCCAAATCGGGGCGGGTTCGGGCGGGTACTCACGAGAGCGGATTAGATTGTCATGCCTACCCCCAAGGTAAAAAGGAGCAAACACCCATATTCAATCAATTTATCCTGTAGTATAAAGATTGGCATGAGTAATAAAAAGAATATCAAACCTTTAATGGGTAGCCCAAGCATACAACAGCAGAAACATTAATGTCTTTCTCGCTAGCCACCATGCAACCAACTCTACAGCAAAACAAACACAAGATACGGTATCTCATAAGTATCTTGATACTAATCATCTATTTGGGACTTCTTCAGCCCTGCATACATGTCCTGTTAGAATATCAAGAATATATCTCAGAATACTTCTATTATATCTTATCGACTGTCTGTTCTGATTAGTTTCCTTATTTTTTTCAAGTTTCCATATTTTCTACAATTAAGGCTTAGTGCTTGTTTTATGAACATTGCCACTTTGTAGTACATTACAATCTCTAGAAAATACTATTCAAAGTCCCTATTATCTCCTTTGCCTCCCTGAATTCCCAAAACCCATAATTTCATCAACACATCCATATAATAATATAAATAAATAAGCGTACAACGTACCTTGAACCCATTGATTTGCCTGCAAGTATCACGGGATGACCAGGGTACTTAGTTGCAGTTTCCTTGACAATATTTGAGTGAAACTCCACCAGTTTTTCTGCCTTAGGAGGAGCCCTCTTTTTTCCAGACATGTCTAGCAAATGGAAAACCCATTAAATTTACTTCAGAGTTAACACATACATCAGATAACACAATTATCTATAGGTTCACTCAACTAGAGATCGATCAGTCATGATAATGTTGTAACTTGTAAGCAGTGACGTTTTAAGTTTCAACGCATTTGAATGCCAAAAAGATTAATAAAATAAAAAATAAAATAAAAAAACTAGAATAGGATTCTAGGAATTAATCAAAACAAACTCACAAGGATAGTCAAAAGTGACAACATCAACAGCATGCAATGCCTCCTTTAACATGTTCTTCCATCTATCGCAAAAATAGAGATTCAGCTTTCATAATAAAGCTTATAACAAGATTTTAACCCATTTTAAACTTAATAGTCTTAAAATAAAAATCCACCAAGTTGGCTAGTTGGAGTGGCAAAGGTGTAATAAAAGGGAAATGTTACCTTTGCATCCAATCAGAGGAGGAAGGAGCACCAGCACCGTGAGCGAAGATCACCACCGGTGACAACGTTGATTCTTCACTTTCGCCGTCTTTGCTCTCACGACGCCGTTTTGCAGGAGGTGACGAATCCATGCCTTGGAATATGAAATCCCCAAATCAAAGTTTGAAAACCACTTGTGTTGTAATTGTAACCCTATCCCACATAATCTCACTGCCCAAACTATAAAATATAATTTTCGCGCCAAATGTAGGGAGAGAGAAAGCCGTCTTCACTTCTCTTTTTTATGCTTTGGAAAGTTTTATTTTTCTTAAGAAAATAATTATTTTTAAAAAAAGTTTAAAAATCACTTTAAAATAAACTTTTACTAAATGTGTGATTTAAAAATAGCATTGAAATTTACATTAAAATGCCCAATCAAATTAATTCTGTTTAATTCAATATTATTATAAAATTTTAATGTTAAAATTTTTTCAAAAATAAATTAAAAATCGTGAGCACCTTCAAATTAGTGTGTTTATTTAATAGAGGATTTGCAATGCACTGATGGGAGTTGTGTTTAGTGGAAAAGACTAATCTTTTATTCTTATTACATGGTGAATCAATGCTAGTCTCAAACAAATGATATGAAACAAAAAATAGAAAAAAGACTTGAAATTTATTTGACAAAAAAAAGATGTATAAAATAAGTCTTTCAAAACTAATAGTTTGTTTTGGTAAACTTTTTTAAAAGCATTTTTAATAGAAAAGAAATAAAATAATTTTTTCTAAAAAATAATTTCTCAGTAATTTCTCTAAAATCTTATTTTTATCTTATACATAAACTAGGTTTATCTTATAAAAAAAAACTTATGTCAATGTTTCTTTATATTTTTACTCCTAGAAGTATTCTCAAAAAAGTTTACTCAAACAAGTCATAATTAAACATCTTTCCAAAATATAGGTCCATTGTATGTTGATCATTATAATTACAATCAATCACATTCATGATCAATTTTGTGTATCATTTATTCTCAAAATATTTGATTCAACCTCCAAATAGTCTTGTGTTCTCAAGTTGTACAAAAATGTCCTTAAAATTTTAATAATGGTCTATTGTCATTTTGATTTATAAAACTCAAAATATACCCAAAACACAACACTAGTGTTAGCTTGTTTGGACATAATTTCATTTTCAATTTTAAGTCAAATTTCATTTATATTTCACACTGAAATTATTATGAGATAAATGATATGATGGCGATAATCTCTTATTAATACTTTCTCTATTATTAATTGAATATTATGAATATTGGTGAGTTCTATTAATAAATCAGAAGATTGACTCGTTAAATGAAATGTAAGATTCACAAAATTTGTAAATTTTTAATTAATTCAACTAATAAAAAAAGTGTTAGAAAGGAAATATTGGATAATATATTATCATTTTATCAAAATTTGCATTGAAGCCCAATAATATCAAAGAATATAAAACTCAATTAAAATACAAGGTAATTTATTTTTGTAGAAACCATATGTATCTTTATATTATAAAATGTCTTGTTCAAGGTAAGTAAGATTATTATTAAAGATAAAAACATCCTCTCAAATATCTGACACAATTACATATTTAATATTTAAATTTGAGATTATTAATTAAAATAATTATACATCGATCAATCTCACACTCTTTGGTGAGCACAAGCCACATTAAAAATAAAGGGTTGATATTTTTTTTTTTGCAAATTTCAAATTCTTTTAACAAAAACAAGTTATATTTTTCTTTATGCATTTCTCCCATGGTGAATGATAGGTAAAACACATCTTAGTTCTTCTCGATGCATGACCTTATCTTCGATACTAAAATTCATTTTAACATCCATAAATTAGTCTTAATATAAAGGATAATACTTAATAGTATAGTTTCAAATTGTGCTTGGTAATTCCCAAAAGGCTTAGGTAATTGCACTTTTAATCATTATTATTTTGTGATTTTGTGAATTTACTCAAGTTTTGAACTTACATTTTGATGTTTAATTTTTAAAAATTTTGCATATTTTATTATTTTATCAATTAATTATTTGACGTTAGTTAATTGTGGATATGAGACTTTAATTAACTACTAATATGACACATAATTATTAACATAAATTTATAAACTAATATATATATATATATATATACTGTGTCATATTAATTATAAGTGTTATAATATATATATATATATATATATATATATATATGACATAATATATTATATGTCAACTATTAATATACCACGAGTAGTATATATGTCATGTCAATAGTTAACTGAAAATGTATTAATTCAAACTTTTTACTTTGTTTTTTTTCTTTTATTATTATAAATCATATTAAATTTAATACAAAATGATAATACTATAATTTAAAATTCACGTGACCTTGGAAAACAAAAGAATTATAACATGGTTAAAAACTTGTTAGACGGTACAAATCCTTTTTTTTTTCTTACCTTTTTTTTTTATAGTGAATGCAAGAAGTGCTTCTTTTTCTTTAGTATATATACGTAAGCTAAACACTAGCATCGCATATTTCCATCTGGCCACGCAATTTTCTTTTTCTTTTAATTTAAAATTCAATCAATGACATATATACCACAAACCCCGCAAAGAAAAAAGAAAAAGAGATATATTAGAAGGTAGTAGCTATCACGTTTTCGTTTTGATATTATTTTTCTAGAGATAAAGTAATTAATTAATAATTAGGCAAAGGCCACATGAATTGGACGTGAAACAGGACGTTGGAGACACTTGGAGTTGATATTGAGTGGAGGAAGAGGCGAGTTGTAGCGTGTAGGATATATAGAGCTAAAGACAGGAAAATAAGAACAAGACAGAAGGAATGTCAAACAGCAATTGCATTTATATTAGCGCTCATGCTCATGTTCATGGGATTAAAGATAACGTTGAGATGCCCTTATCATCTGCAAGCTGCTATATTCTGTGTTACTGCCTTTCATCATTGCTAAAGGCCACCCTATCCTCTTAATTATTCTAACCACATGCATGGCTTCATCATGCCACAAAACTTTTAAGTGCCAAGATATATATGGAGACCCCACACAATAAAAGTCAACCACGTTCACATTATTTTGTGCAGTATAAAAAGGACTTGTGTCATATGAACCCTCCAAGGAATTAACAAGCCACTGGTAAGTCTAACAACCAATCAAGGGTTTGCTTTGTTCACTCTCCCTCAAGGGCTTCTCACTAGAACTAACCGTTGAATACAAGAACGAAGCTAGCTAGAGGCCCCTGGGGGAGGAGTAAATAATCTGACCCTTATGCATATATAGCACACAGGACTCATGGCCCGACTATATTAGTAAGTAGCTAGTTATCTTGTTTCTCATCTTAAGTATAAATTCCCACTAAAATTGGCCTAATTTCCATGCCCTTTCTGAGTTTTTATACGGCCAATTTGTATAGTGTGCTGTGCATTGCTTAATCTCCCTTGGTGAGATTGGATAATGTTTGTCACACCTTAATTTCGTTAAAGGAGATAATTAAATTTCATCTACTAATTATTTCAGGTCTCGGGTTGATTTCCATTTTGTTCAAATAAATTTCCTTACTAGTATTTCACTAAAAAAACTAATCAATAGAATCCTGACACGATAAGGATCATAGTGCCTTGTAGTTTATAGTGAGGTGAAAGTTTTGTCTTACGTTTTAGTCTTCAGTCTTATTTATTTACCACCACGAGAAAAAGGATCATGGGTTGTTCTCCAATATTCTCTCTTCTCTTGATATATATTGCTCGAATCTGGGTACGGATTTATTTTCACCTGATGTGTGCGACTTATTAGAGTCTTTTTTTTATTATTTCTTATTAGGGTATGTTTAGACGAGAGTTATTTAGTTTATACAGATGGATTAGGGATAGAATCGACGTACTTGTTTGCTTAAACACTATTCTTTCACTCTTTTTTTTTTCTTTCTTTAAATTACTTATTCTAAAATTAACAAACAAAAAATTGATTTACATTTGTGAAACATGATTTTTTTTTATCAAACATTATTTTAACCTTATAAGAATCAATCTTAAAGCTAATAATTAAGAATATTATTTTTTTTCATATCGCTTTTTATTAAACGTATTTTTCTACAAAAACATTCTTTTTCTTTTTTCATTATTCTTTATAGTTGATATTTTACAAAGTATATGGAAAAGTATATATAGAACAAATGCAAATTTGAATTTTCTGAATTGAATAAGTTGCTTTAATTTAAAATGGTATCTTAAGTCTCAACGGTTAAAGAGAGAATAAATGGGAAGAATTTTGCATGTAACATTTTATTTATTGGCTTTTTAGTAATAGGCTAATAGCTAAGATTTCTTACCTTTTTTCCTGTATAATATTACAATGACTCATTTTGGAGGACAAATCACAATATGCGTTTATCTTTTCCTATTGAGGTCTACAACGGCTTCAAATGATTTTTTAGCTCAACTACTATTTTAATGTGTCTGTGATATGCAATGAAAAAATATGTTTTTTATATAATTAAAATTTATAATAAATAAGTATTTTCAAATATATAAATTATATATAATATATTTAAAATATAATAAATAAATATGTTTGAACATATAAGTTATGCTACAAATTTATGATAAACAATTTATATTATAATATAAATTTGTTTTTAAATATTAATATTTTAAAAATAAATTATAATTTAATAATAAAGATGAAAATGATAAAATAAAAGAGACAAGAGGTTAATAAAAAAATTCTAAAAATAATTTTGTAAAAAAAAAGTTCTCCACAAATGTTTTGTTCGAAGAATAATTTCTAAAATTATTTTCATATAAAATAATTATTCCAATTAATATTAGAGATGATTATGCTTTCATACAAATAAAAAATTTATTCTAATTTATAGAGAAATTGAGGTTTATCGTATTATACGAAAGATTTACAATAATTCACACCTGTTCAACTAATTGATCATGAGATTTTAACTATCATGTCATTGGTGCTTGAGGATTAGAATAACAAAGAAAACAAATACTTGGCACCAAAGGGATCATAACTAAAAAAAGGAAAAAAGCATCAGTTGAATGTCCATTTATTTGAATTGAAAATAAAATGTGAAAAAAATGAAGAAAAAAAAATTGAAATTCATTCCATCTAATTTCGTTAGTTTTTTATATATCTTCATAATTTACTGTTTTTATTAATTATCTCCCGCTGAAAATAAAAATATATCTTCCTGCTAGCATGGTTAGTTTTCGTATGTGACAGTCTCTTTCTGTTGTTGGTTAGATTCCGTTTCTGATGGATTTGCCCAAGTGTGGTGTTCATTATTATTGGTTTCCTCTTGCCAATCTTTTCCGGTTGTGGTTTCCTTTTGACGTGTTGTTGTTGCTCTTTTTTCCATTTTGCGGCTTTTGGGCCAATCATGGGTGTCATGCCTTTCTGCCTTTGAAATCATCAAGTAATCACTTTTGAATTCAACCTTCTTTTGTGAGAGACTATTTTATAGCTTCGATCTATTTATATTTTATTTTCATTTTATCCTTAAATATTTATTAGTTTTTTAACATAATGTACGATTTTATTATTTTATTTTAAACTTAGTTCGGAATATTCTGAGATGTAATATAATATTAATAATAGAATGCACAATATAAAAAAAAAAAAAAAAAAAAA